AGTGCGACGTACATGGTCCTCGGAACACCTTCAGTTGTTCTCTTCGCCCATACCACAGCGGTACCGATACATCGGGCCTATACAGAATCGCTCCTTCTCGAACGCGATACTCTCAACCTGGTTGTGGAGTGGTATGCCCTCGTTTCCCGATAGCTCCTTCAGGTCTCTGGCGTAGTAAATGCTCCCACCAGCGGGAAAAGAGATGGACATCATACTGGACTCGACCTTCGCGAGCTGGTCCATCAGCGAGATGATTTCATCCTCCTCTAGGTCAGACCATATCTGACTCAAGTTGGTGCCTTTGACGTATTCCATTAGAATGTATTCCGTCTTGGCCTCGTTGTTTGATGTAGACCTTGGGAATGGGGAGCCCCTTGGAACGAAGGAAGTCCATAGTAGCGACTTCACTGGCGACAGCATACGCCTTGGGAACGAGAAGGGGATAGAGGATGCGCGCAACGAGCTGAAAATCGGTGTCCAGCGTAATAAGAAAGATGCGGTTGAAGCCACCCTCTGCGAGCTTCCGAAAGTCGACGATCTGTTCAGTCCCGCAGTTCATTGCCTTCGCAATAGTGTTGAAGAGTCCGGGGATGTTGAAGACGCGCGTGCGCTCTCGGAAGTGGTGGGCGTCGTTGGCACTGGATACGTCGCATTAGGAGTAGGACAAAGACGAGACAAGATGCAGGAGGCATATAGGAAACGTCCGGCAGTGTAGTTAAAGAGTTCGCTCTCCAGATCCATCATGAGAGAGTGTGGTTCTAGCATATTGGAGAGTCGACGAGAAGGTAGTCGACTAGTCGTGGTCGTGGTGAGGTTCTTCGTGAAAGATGGATTGAGCGACGAGAGACGGAGCAGAGACGAGGAAAAATCAGCTGCAAGGAGTCGTAGGGAGGGGATTTTCGAACACTGAAAGCGATATATAGTCAGAGAGACCCAAACAGCAAAACTAAATGTAATCGCATTGGGTCGGCCACTATCTGCGTTCAAGTTTGGTCCTTGCCATTGGTGGTGCTCAACCTTTAGCTAGCTAGCATTGGACAAATCGGCAACTCGTCGATACATCGTGGAATGTCATTGTGAAGGAGAATTATAGGTGGGTTCTACCAGTTGCAGCGCAGGAGTGCTAGTCAAATACTCTTGGATAGCATTCACGATGGCTGGTAGTGAAAATGTACCTCATATTTGATCGCGAGCTTCTGCACGTGCCCATGGGTATTGCGTCACGCGAATAGGTGTGTATGTTCCTTTTTTGGCGTTCTACTACATCCTTCATGTGCAGCTAAATGCAGTGACGGAGTAGCATTCTCTGCTCATTTGGCGTCAGCGTCTCTACCTACTTGTATAATCTTTATGGCATCTAGAGCAGCAGAAGGAGCATACAGCAAATACGTGTCCTATATCAAGAGAATTTGCATCAAGGCTACCAACTCTACCTACAAGAAACCGTTCAGAACTCCATCTCATAATGGTTTCCAAACAGCCTCCTCAGACTGATGTCGCAGAGGAGACCATCGAAACCGACGTTGTTGCTGTACAGGTAGTCGCAGGGCCTTCATCTATGCTCTTTCCTACCCTTCGTGAAGAAGGAAGTCCTCCGTCGACCTCCCCTGGTAAGCTCTCATCACGAGAATATCGCTTAAGAATCCTCGTAGTAACTTTTCCCGTAGACTCGAACGCTACTTCTACACTGACGTACTCTGACAAGCTCTCTGCGTTGCCTCCATCAATGGCAAGTCCAAACCTCAATCGCGGAGCCCGATCTCCTATGATGAACAGTCACGGCCAATCGCCTCGAATATTTAGACATAGCCTTGATGCATCCAGATCCTGGCCGAGCATATCACAATCTGGGACTAACATGGATTCATTTGCTGGATTTAGCCCAACGCTTCCTGATGTTGACAAAGGAATGTCGGGTAAGGAGACAAGGAGACCTCGGGTGAGCGCCTCTGAGGGATCTCTCGACCACGAGACTTCCCGTAGGGCATCGATGGAAAGTGACAGGACATCGTTACCGACAATGCAAAGTGTTCGACAAGGTCAATTTGATTAATGAATCCGTTCTCTAATTATACATTGACCCCTCTACCAGTCCTGCATCGACTTCGCCGTGGCAGTGATCCTACTACATCCTCTTATGCTGTACCCGGCGAATATACCATTAAATCCGACAATCTCGATGCTGGCTCCCGATCTCCATCGCATTCGCGCTCCAGAGCGGCATCGCCTCTGAGGATACTCCAGCAATGGTCCCAAGGTATCCATCATCGACCGCACACCTCTCACCATGAAGAACCTTTTATTCCTGTTGATCCTTTCCAGTCCCAGTTCCTTTTCAGTTTGCGGTCGGAATCTCCTAGGATTCGTCTGCCGATGTGGATTCGGAAGCGTCTGCCTAGTAAGGCCAACAACGCAGAAGGTCTTCCTATGAAAGCCAACACTCATTCCCATAACACTTCCGCCGCTCATCATTCGATTGATCCTCACGCAGAAGAGAATGGTATCGCATTTGCTGCACATGTCCATAAATCTGACCACGTCCATTCCATGGACATGCATACGATTCATATCTTCTTCCTAGACACTCTTCCGCGGGTAATATATCTGCACCTGCTGTTGCGTATTCCATGGATGTATTTTTCGCGTGTCGCGCGAATATTCGAAGATGCAGAGGTCAGCAAGCCAGATATTCAACGCATGATTGACGCCTGCGGAAGGGGCGGGAGCCATTTTTCACAAAGCCAGATGAATGCGAACTCGCTAGGACCAGAACTCACCAATGCTCAAACAAATGCCTTGAACGTGCCTGCTACAAACACGGATGCTGCTAATGCAGGAACGAGCCAGAAGGTGCGACTCCCGAATAATACTCTAAGCCCCACCGGGACGGGCTTGGGGCCGACATCTGCCACAAATTTGGCAGCAGCAGCAGTCGCATCCGTAGTGGACCTTCCGCTACCATTGCCAGAAGATTGGAAATCACCTTTAGTATCCCCTTCACTTATTCGCTTCAAGCTTTCTTGGGAGACCTTTATTGATTCCTTGATGAGAGAGTGGAAGACTTTAAATGTTGTCTCAGCTTTGTTATTATCGTACGTGACCTGCAAGTTTTTTCCTTGACAATGATTGACCAGTACAATATTTCAGTGCTATTTTAACCATGTTTCAAATCGAGGACGCTGCGACAGATCCCCTTACTAGATCCGCTGCTTTACTCTCTCTAGTATGTGCTATCATGAGTCTTTCATACGGATGTATCTATATTGTACGGTTTGGGACGATGAGGAGCATGTATCGTGCTTCTATCTGGGCCGAAGTATGTTCGTTTCCAATATCCAATCACAACTTCATTCATGAAAACTCTTTCCGATGACAGGAAGCGCAGAAAACGAAGACGCTGCTCTGGTGGAATGTCTGGGTCCTACTAGGAATGCCGGCAGTGTGGATGTCATGGTCGATGATCCTCTTTATCGTCTCAATCTTATCGTTTGTCTGGCGAACCGGTGCAGAATCTGATCCACGGGACCGTGCTCCTCTTAGTGACCGAGCTGCACTAGGTCCTCGCATCGCCATCACATTCGTTTTCTTCCTCGGGATGCTATATTTCTTTCTAATAGTGCGTACGCTGCAAAGCTATGGCTCGAATAGCGCCGGTCGCGGCGAAAGGACTCGGGTGTATATTGAATCCCAGACTCGGAGTAGGGAAGGTACTCATCGTCCGCACGGTACTAATGGGACAACGGTGATTGAGCGGATACAAGAGCTTCGCACGCAACATGCCAAGGACGGCCAACGAACGCCAGATCACGGTCGCCGGTCTCATACAGTAGACGTAGTGGCTGATGTGATACGAGGGAGAGAACGGGACCGCCGTGTTCTTGTAAAGAAGGGCACTCCAGATGCATCCAGTAGACGACAACCTCTCCGTCGTCCAATATTCGGGCTTGGATTAGGAGGAGCTGCTGGGGAAGGGGAAGGAACGGATTCCGAATTTGATCTTGAGAAAGGTGTCACTGGACATCTGGATGGAAACATGGAACTTTTATGATCACGGATATTGAACTTTAGTCTACAAGTGCGGTTTTCTATCTTATCCCATCGAATTTACAATGCAATGCTTTACGCTGATGATCTCAAGAACTGCCTCTATGAACTATTTCGAGATTCATAATCCGCCTGAGATCATTACACGACATTTGGACTTTCTCTCTAGAAGCCTTCGTTTACTCCTTTCCCTTTTGGATTGCTTCGATAAGCTCTCAACAAATCATTAGGCCAACTTGCAGCCGGAGCTTTCCCCGCTGGCATTCGACTGCACAGCGCCTGCTGGATAACAGCGTCCGCAAGGACCCTCTCAATATCCAATCTTTCAAATTGAGCTTCAATTTCTGTTTGCAACCCTTCCTTTCCAGCAACAACACCTCTCTGAAAATCACTCAAAACGGCAAGCCGAACAATGCGAACCAGGCCACCCATTCGCTCAGCAATCTGGGGAGTGGAATGCAGAGCTATCGCGCGCCAGACTTCTTCGATATCGTCGTGTGAGATGGAAGGATCTTCGGCTGCTCGTAAGAGAGATGCCGCTGCGTCTGCACCCTCGATCTCAAACCGCTGAAGTTCCTCCGAGTCAAGTTTGGCAAAGGCAGGAGTAGCGCCTATGTCATGGAGTATGCAGGCGGCGAAAAGGAGAGGAAAGCGGGATGAAGAGAGCCCTTCATGCTCGCCTAATTCTCGAGCGTAGACCCAGACACGCAGACAGTGGTTCAAGATTGCTGGGGGGAGATGCTGGCTTGCCAGAGCGTACGCAGTGTGAGAAATGGAATCCTGTGGGACAGAAGCTGACACCGTCTCAGGATTCAGAGAATTCTCGGCTACATGGGAGTTTTGACACATGATAGGTTTTCAGTTCTTGCCTTGTTCTTCGGTGAATCTGTAGTTGCGCTTAGAAATCGCCACACAGTTGAGCCAATTGCACCAAAAACGAGATGCAAAAAGTATAATGGCCAACGTGGGGATCGAACCCAAGACCTTCGCGTTAACATTAATATTAGCACGACGCTCTAACCAACTGAGCTAGTCGGCCTGTGATAATTTTGTGAAACCAAAATTGCATTTCTGGAGAGTTGTGATATTTCTATGAATTCATCACCTCCCTCACACGGTAAAGAACGGGCTTACACTTACATCGAAATTCCACGTTCTCCCACCGACCTACGAACAACACACAAGGCTCTCCGGGCGACCAATGTGAGGTGGTTGGTTGAAAAGACGGAACGGACAGACTTTCGGAATTGAAAGTGAGTGGGAAAGCCTCGGTCCGGGAACCTTTCCTTTCCTGCACTTCCGCTTTTGCCCGTATTCCTTGACCTTAAACCACGACCACGACGACCAAAAATGTTTGCACGTAACACCGCCCGAGCTTTGACAGCTCCTTCCGCCCGTCTCTTTTCCTCATCGTCTGCGCGTCAGACTAAAGTTACCGTGCTCGGTGCCGGTGGAGGAATTGGCCAGCCTCTGTCTCTGCTTTTGAAGTTGGATCCGTTAGTGTCGAATTTGAGCCTGTACGATATCCGTGGAGCTCCTGGTGTCGCTGCAGACGTTAGCCATGTCGACACTCACAGTGAGGTACTTTTTTCTCAATCAGTATTCACACTACAACATTTAATGACCTTGTCAGGTTAATGGGTATGCTATGGAAAACTTGGACGCTGCTCTTGAAGGTACCAAGGTCGTCGTTATTCCTGCTGGTGTCCCAAGAAAGGTCAGCCTAGCTAGTCTTTTACTATCTCAAACCACTACTAAAATTTCTCCCAGCCTGGGGTAAGTGCTTCCGTCTGCATCGTTTCTAAGAATCCCGTTCTAAATGTGCGTCAAAGATGACCCGCGATGATCTCTTTAATGTGAGTGCTATGTCACTACTCAGACGATCACAATGCCCAATAGATTCTGTAGACCAACGCATCCATCGTTCGTGACCTCGCTGCCGCCGTCGGTCGTGTTGCCCCTACCGCTCACATCCTCGTAATATCTAACCCAGTCAACTCTACTGTACCAATCGTAGCTGCTACGCTTGAAAAAGCTGGTGTTTTCGATCCTACTCGCCTGTTCGGTGTTACCACCCTCGACGTCGTCCGTGCTTCACGTTTCCTCGCTTCGGTCTCCGGTAGCACTCCCTCAGAATGTGATGTTCCTGTAGTAGGAGGTCACTCTGGTCCCACCATTGTTCCTCTGCTCTCGCAAGTTGCGAAGGGTAAGGGACTTCAGGGCGAAACCTATGACAAGCTCATTCAGAGGATTCAATTTGGTGGGGACGAGGTCGTGAAAGCCAAGGATGGTGCAGGCTCAGCAACTCTATCCATGGCATATGCCGGTGCCAAGTTTACCAACTCGCTTCTCCGAGGTCTTAACGGAGAAAAGGGTGTTATTACACCTACCTTTGTGAAGAGTCCTCTCTTTGCGGACAAGGGCATTGATTTCTTCTCTTCCCCTGTTGAACTTGGTGTACGTTTTGTGATGCTTCTACGCCCTCTCAAGTCTTAACAGCCTTTTTTCTTCTAGGTTAATGGTGTTGAAAAGATTCACCCTATTGGTCCTCTCTCTGCTGAGGAAGAGAAGCTTCTCGAGGCATGCTTGCCTGAGCTCAAGAAGAACATTGAGAAGGGCAAGGCCTTTGTTGCTTAAATGCTCTCTTAATGTTACGTCGACACACCCTATGACGTGCAATTGTGTAAACATTAGAAGCCGAATGGACGAGATAATCCTTCTGTTCACAATCTAATCATTACCACCAAAATATAATTCACACCTGTACTGTGTTCAAACCTTGATTGAGAAGGAATGGTTGCGTTCAAGACTGTCCAAGACTTTGACGTTGGTCCGCTATTATGTTTCTTGTTTTATTCCTGCTTCGCGCTTCTTAGCAGGCCTCTGCCCACGTTCATCCACATTCCTTAGATGTTCAATCAACATCATTGCTTTTGATTGCGGACTCAGTCGCTGTGCTCACCGTAGTAATCATTCAGATTGCAATTGTCACTGGTAAGATCTCCTCTAATCTCACTTCTTCGATGTTGGTCTCGACAGGAACAATGCAGTAACGATTGACGTCCGGAAGACCACGACGGATTACCGGCACGCTGTCCTAAGTGAGGCTTATAGACTATCTCGAAATGAGTGCAGTTGTAATCACTTGATGTATAGCCCTGCGCAGGCATCTTATTACCTATTCACAAAGACCAGGGCTGTCTCTGAAGCTCGAGGTCTTGCCTCCGGTCCTGACTTCTTCCACATCTAATTTCTGATATCTACATCTGTATGCGGTCCGTCATCCTTTGGGCCAGTGTCGACTGACTTCTTGATATACAGATCCATCATTACCATCATCATCCTTCGTTGGCAACAAATGGAATGTGTCTGATCCAAATAACAGAAGCACCTGCCCATCATTGCGCCCAGTACTCGGTGAAAGCGTGGGCGAGAGAGTATCGGACCCATGGCCAGACAAACCTGACTTGACTGGATCTACATACATATAGCCAGCCATTATCTTCCCTTTCTCTTCTTCCCTTCCTTCATCACCTCCATCCCATTCCTTTGGCAGAGGCCCTCATACATACGCTATCACCGATATTCTGATTCTTGAACTTGGAACTCGTAGCATGGAATTAAATTCCTCCGAGATCGAAAAGCTTCAAATAGTCACTGTATGTTATCGTGTTTCGAAAGTTTTGTTCTAAATCTGATAAGTGCCGTTCCAATGATTCCTCAATTTTGATTTTGGCAGTATGTCACTGGTGAGTCCAGCCCCATTCTTTTGGTTGCTTTTCCGGAGGAAGAGTATCGTATTAAACGACAACCTTTTCTATTTTCTTTGCAGTGTCATTTCTCACTCTGCTAGTGGGTCTTCCGCACTCACTCGTACTGCACCAAGCAGATTCAGAAATACAATGAGCTTATTGATGAAGCTGATATATCAATTTGATAGGTCTATGACTGGTCCATATCCCTGACCCGGGAGGTAATGCACTAGTGAATAGCGTGGTATTGCTATTGTGTCTGATTATCTTTTCACCGGTGCATAGGTGATTCGTGTCTGGCGTTCGAGATGGAGCGTAGTTAAAGTGCTGTATCTTTATACGAGATATGCTCCATTTATAGTGATGGCTATAGCAGCACAGGGTGTGTACAAACTCTAATCATCGACGGACGCCTAATTGTCCTTGTGCGAAATGTCATAGAGAGGATCTCTTCCGTAAGTCGTCCACGTATATCTCGGATCCTATACTTATATTTACCATCTCCGGCAGACATGCAATCGGATGACCTTCACTACAGGTATGCTTTGCTGAACTTGTGAATTCACGTTGGCCCTTACATGTTGTCTAGTCTTTGCTGGGGTTATCATTGGCATCTCTGACCGTGAGGAGATCTTTTCTGTCAACCGCTGAGCACAATAAACTTTCTTCTTTTCCAGTCATTCTAATGCTCAGAGCATAGTATTCAATTTATAATAAATCTCGAACAGTTTTAGCTATTTTTTGTCTGTCGTGGACGGTCGGTTTCACTAATTCTGATTCTAAACTCGTTTTATTAAACTGTCATACAGGTCATCTCTGTTGTATGTGTTTGGGCTGTCATTCGTTTTACAAATACACTTCCTAGTGAGTGTCATCCAATAGATGAACAACGTCCATATTTCATTATCAAAAGTAGGCGAAATCACTGGAAAATTGTCTTGTTTCGCATCCAAGGAGTCAAATGTGGTATTAGTATGTTATTCCGCTCTGCTGGGCGGTGAATGTGGTGAGAAATTTACTCTTTCCGACTCGGATGACCTCACCAGGTATCGATGTTGATGACTATGCTTCTTCTTCAAGTCTTGACACTGCTCACCGCTTGGAAAACTTTGGATTTATGTGAGTACCAGTATTACATGTATTGACGCATAAATAATAATGAAAAAGTTGTGTAGCTAACGAATTCCACCTTGGCCAAGTTGTTAGTATGATTTACTGCGAGGGTAGGTAATCTTTTCAGACTCACAGCGACCATAGTCAATGATCGCATGGCAGGCCTTTTCTACTATTTTATGATCTTGCGTGAGTCCACTCATTGCAAATTTTGGAACTGAAGATCATTGTTGGAGAACAGCAATCACGATCGCCAATATGGCTGTCTTCCTCCTTGCCCCAGTAAATTTTTTCTCCCTCGGAATCCTAGTTCGTGAGATTTATCAGTGAGCTTATAGGCTAGCCTTTTGTCACTCTTGGATTCGTGTGTCTTCATCTCGCGACACTTCTTATCTAACTGAAGTTAACTTATGATCACCTAGTCCACTAACGGTGATGCACTCCATTCTGTGCTGTAGATTGGTATTGCATGTGCGCGAAGTGTCTGAACATGATCCTGAGGATGTTGAAGATGAAGATGACCTCCTGCCCACATTTATTATTGAGGAGGCTATTGAACCGTATAAGTACAAACGAGTACAACAATACTACGTGTAGTTGTGTAGTTACAACGCCAGTGACTATTTTCGCATATCTAATAGGGCCCTTAGTTACTCGAACGCCCATCCTAACCACTAGAATCACCTACTTATTTACTGTACGTACACACTCATTTACCGTCTTCACGGTGGTTATTTCTACATACAACTCCGCTATTGCAGGAAATACAAAAACCTTCAATCATGCCGCATTCTCCTTAACAATCGATCAATATAAATATAATCACTGACTACTAAGTGCTGCTGGTCTCGGAGTACTACTCGTCACTCCCGCTTTGTTGGCGTCCATGCCCTGCAAGACCAAGTGAGTCTGCATTGGCTTTGTGTCTGAGTGATGGAAGCTTTTTCGTCTTTCAGGTCAGCATCTTGACTCTTTATGTTGTCAACCATCGTATCAAGCGGGATATTAGTCTGGGAAGGTTCTCTCGCTCTGCCAGTAACCAGGTCCAGCTCTCAGTGAATATGTGTGTCCTCACATAATCTTTACAGTAAAACGTTAACAGCGACAACAAGAACAACAAAGAGACCGCATTCACTTTGGAAGAGAAACACTCACTATGAGTTCAGCCGCCGGT